AAAAGAACTTAAAAGAAACAAACAAAAATCAATTGTTGATATTAATTTTAAACTTCAAATTTTAAAAGAATATTGTAGAAATCGATCAGAATATAAAGGGTTTAAATTTAATTTTCATTATAATTCTTTTATTTCTTTTGTTCAGAAAAAAATTGAAAAACTTATTCCACTAAATAATATCTGTGAAATATGTGAAGAACATATTAATGAAAAAATTAAATCTTTAATAGATTTAATTGAAAAAAGAAAACAAGAAACAGAAAAAGAAAAAAATTTTCAATTTTTTTTGGTTTAGATTTTATTAGAATTATTAAATGTAATCTTTATAATATTATTAATAACAAAAAATTATATATTGAAAGGTTTGGTGGAATTGTTAAAGATTTTGAATATCCAGTTTATAATTATATTGATTATGAAAAAATTGAACAAGCAAAAAAAGATAGTAAAAAATGGTATGAAGCCAATCTATATTATAAATCATGGATTGGTAATTGAATTGTTTATTTTATTTTGTTATAATAAATATATTTTCAATTTTTTCTATAAATAAAACATAAAAATCTTTTTGTTTAATTAATGGATTCAAAATTTAAAATACAAAATAAAATTTTCTTTGATGAGAAAGAATGTATTAAATTTTTGATCGAACAACAAATAATTAAACAACCTGTTAAATGTCAGTTCTGTAATTGTGAAATTTATTTATATCTCAAAGAAAATGTATTTCGATGTAAAAATACTGAATGTAAAAGAATGATTACTATATTTAAAAATACTTTTTTCTCACAACACAGATTGAAATGTAATAGTATTTTATTAATCATATACTTTTGGATTTATAAACTTCGAATATCTCAAATTCATAATATGAGTGGAATCGCAAAATTGACGATAAGAAGATTTATTAATTCTATTAGACAAATTGCTATTAATTCATTAAAAATAGAAGATACTTTTATAGGAGGACATAGTATTATCATTGAATTAGATGAAAGTTTATTTGAAAACTTTTGGATTTTTGGAGGAATTGAACAAACAAAAGAAAAAAAATGTTTTTTTATTGTGGTAGATAATCGTAATATAGAAACACTTACAAAACTTATTAAAAAATATGTAAGACCAGGATCAACAATTTTTACAGATTGTTGGAAAGGATATCAAAGATTAGATAAACTTGGTTATAAACATTTTTGAGTAAACTATTCAAAACAATTATCCAAAAAACAACAATTAAGAAAAATTCACACAAATTATATTGAAAACACTTGGAAATTACTCAAAGATTTTATTCCCAAAGAAAAAAGAAAAAAAGAAACTATTGAGCCTTTATTAAAAGAATTTATTTTTAGACAAAAAAATAGAAATAATTTATAGCAAACATTATTAGAATTACTTAAAAATAATTAATATTTAACTTCTTTTCCATTTTTATTTCTAGTTATTTTATCATATGTTAATTTAAATTGGATTGCTAGCTGTTTTGCTTGTTCACTTGTTCTTTTTTTTGTAATTAAAAAAAATTTGGTTTTTAATTTATTATTTTTAAGCCAACAAAATCTCCAAGTATTTAAAGATTTATTAAAAGAAATTTCATTAAAACCTGTAGTATTGTTTTTATTTAATTTACAATTTAAAGCATTTTCTTTTGATGTTGTTTCTCATAAATTAATTTCACGATTATCAAAACCACACCGAGAAATGTGGCCAATCATCTTAAAATTTGGTTTAATTAATCGATGAAGTAAATAGTTTTTTCTATTATATCTTGTTTTAATATAATATGTATTATCATTTTTTCTTTTAAAACAACACCATGTATAATTTTTTAAAAGATGAAAATTTTCTTTATCGAGTAGAAAGGTGATTTCAGGCTTTTGAGTTTTAACTTTCAAATAAATTGTAAAATTGATCTTCACAAGATGATATTTGTTTAATTTAAGTCTTGGTTTATCAAAATTCTTGTATTTTTCCCATTCTGTAATGATTTCAAAGTCTTTAAATTTCTCAAACCAATTAGACATTTTTTTTAATTATTAATAAAATCTATAAAAACCTGTCTTTTATAATTTTTATTTTTCTTCTTGAATCAAATTTTTTTTAATTTTTTTTGTGAAATTAAAACTTAACCAAAATGTCTTATTATATCTATCATTCTGCCAATAATTATGTTTTTCATTTTACATTAAGTAAAAAAGAATTAAAAATTCATGTTACAAAAAGAACTCGACAACTTACAATTATGCAAGTTGAATCTAAAAAATATTCATTTATAATTAAAACAAGTGACTTAACAAATATTAAAAATTATATAGAAGCAGATGGAATTATTAGTTTAAATAAAAATATTGAAAGTTTTTCTATATTATATAATAATACTACTATAATTTATCAAAACGATACTTTAGCGAATTATTTTAATTTTTTAAATAAAATTAATCAAAAAAAAATATTAATTTATAATTGATATACATTTAGTCTTATAAAAAAACTTTATAAGTGCAAGCCAACCAACGTGCAGATAGTATATCATCTGGCTCTTAAAAATTTAACGAAGAGCTAGAATTCAGGGGAGAATTATATTGGCCCCAGACCATTTTTGATATAATCTTTATCTTATGCTCATCTGTTTATAACCCGGTAGTAGGTGCATAGAGCATGTCGCCTCTCAATCTACCAGAAATCATATAAGTTTAACTTATATATTTTGTTTGAAATTCTTTTTTTGTTTTTAAGACCAACAAAAAAATAAAGCGTTCGTTTGAGAACTACTAGCTAAAAAAACAACCAGGTCAAGCCTTCATACTAATTTTTTTGTTTAGTAAAGAGAAATTTACCAAGGTCAAAAAATTATTAAAACCTTTTAACGAAAAAAAAAATTTTTTTAAATTCGCAACTTTTCAACTATATCATTAGAAATTTTATGCATGTAATTTAACAGGGATTCTGTTAGCTTAGTTTAAACTCATTAATATGAGAAAAACTTTAGAATAGTTTAAACAGTTAAATTTCAGAGGCCCTATCTAACGAAATGTGTTTTCATCAAAGTCGCAAATTAAAAAAAAATAAAAAAAAGAAAAATCGGTGGTTTATAGAAATTTTTTTGATTGTGCTATTTTACTCCTTTTAGAATATTGTATATTTACTATAAAATAGAAAAGTGTTCAATAATTTAGAATAAGATCATCAAACAATTTACACCTATAAAATGTCTAAATTAAAAAAAAATCAAAATAAATATATTGTTAAAAAAAAATCGTATGTATTTTATTTTTTTTTATTCCTTTTTTTTAATATTTATTAATATTATTTTTTAGTTATACAATGACAATTAGTTACAAGAAAAAAACTTCACTTGAAAAACATCTTCATGAGTTTCGTGATTATCTGTTTAAAATTCAAGTTGAAAGATTGAATACGAATAATGCAAGAGTTTATTTTTTAGATAAAAAAACTGAAGAAAAAATTTCTATTCCTAAGGATAGGATGGTAATATTGACAGAAGAACTTATTCTGTCAAAATTAAATTCTAAATCAGTCTCTGACGTTCGCAACTTAAATCTTTGGGTACCGATAAGTCTAAAAGCAAGGAGCACTTAATTTTAAGGATGTACAGAAATTATTAGCGAAAAAAATAGAAAATAAGGTTATTGTTGGTTATGGTTTAGCTCTTGATCTTGCGGTAAATATTTCATAAGTTATCAGTGGATACAAATTTGTTGGTATGCTTGGCTATACCGGAAGCACCGTGTATTAATGCCAATGGTTTTGAAAAAAGGGTATCAGAAGTTCGTGACTAGGATTTTTTTATTCTTAAATAAAATGACGAAACTTAATTTAAAATATTTTTAATCTCTAAATATTGTTTTCATTATATTTTATCTTTTTTTCTTTGACAATTCTTACACGCTGATAATATTTTTTGTTTTAACATTATTAATTACTTTTTGTAAAACTTTAACTTTTTAAATAAATATTTTAAATAAACTATGAAAAAACTTTTATTTTATTATAATAAAAAAATAATAAAAAAAAAATACAAAAAATTATTTGGTGATTTCACCGTATTTTTCAGTATATCTACAGTATTATATTTGGTGTTTAATTTATAATATTTATCCTTAAATTCTTCACACTCTTTTTTAATATTTGAAACAGTGTCATATAGTTTTTGATTTCTTTTACATTTTACTAAAATTTTAATACTTTCATATTGTTCTTTAATAGATTCACATGATTCACATTTCGTTTCGTTTATTTCTTTTCTTATTTTTAAGAAAGACGCTTGTAATTCATAGTTTTTTTCGATTACTTCATCGATTTCTTTTAACGAAAACATCTTTTATAAAATAAAGT